TCCTTCAAACTGGCCTTAGTCGTCCCCGACGTAGCCTATGCTCATCTTCACCTTAGAGCCAGACTCCAATGGGTTACGCGGAGTAACTGTCGATGCACGCTGTACCGACCAGACCCCAGCCGTCCTCCTCCCCGCGAACCCTCCGGCCGTTCTCCCGTATCCTCAATTTCAGGCGTCTCAACACGCCTCTCCCAAGCCACAATATCCCCATCAGTTTTCCGATGAAGCCCAGGGAACAGTAATTTGTGAGCAGGGTCAAGGGGTTCTACCCCACAGTAACTACCGACGTACCTACAAAACCGTCACACAGACCGTCACCATAGACACTCCATCCTACACTGCTCCTATCCCCATCACCGCTAGTGTCACCACAGCCAGTGATGTAGGAATCACAACCATCTGAGCACAGCATGTCCACACACTCGCATGACCCTTCCCACCGAGAGCACTGCATAAACTGCTGTACAGCCGACCAGCCACCAAGCGATCTGTTGGTCAGCAAGAAGGTCCTTCAAGCTGCAGTCAACGAGTCTCCTATCGGCCATGAACAACTCAACCTCCCAGTCGACCCTGACGGACCCGCCAACACAACCTAACCACTGTTACATAAGAACGGGCCTTGAGCGACTCTATTTCCGAGTGTGTACAGCAATGTGAATTAACGATGAATGATTCATGCGAAAAGTGTGGTTGCCCATCATGCTGTATCGAGTGGACGTTGAAGTCCAGCCCCAGGACCTCATTCTGCTCCTCCACTTCGCAATACCTGAATAACACCATAGGCATCACTCCGCCAACCTCACCCTACCCCTCTGCCATCTTGTTGCAGTTCCTCTATCTTACTCAAGCCTCCACACTCCTCCATTCTGATAATAACACCATCCAGCGCCCAACCAACAGCCACCCCCTACTCTAGGTATCGGTTTATGTTCTCTCCCGTCTCCTCCTGGACTTCGCATCCCACCTTCAAAATGCCCTCGATGGCCTCCAACACCACCAGGACCATCCTAGAATCCCTCACGTCCAGCACTGTACCTGACCATGCACTCCACTGCTAAACTGACATCCCAGACACCGGCCTCACATATCGCCGTGATGCCCTTGTTGTGCTCAACAATATAGCGGACCTGGGCCGGCGTACCACTCGTGCGTAGGTTGCAAACTACCCCTACTGCCTCTCGAAGTATCTCATCCTTCTTAGCACCCAGTATCATCCCGGAGACCTCACCCAAAAGTCCACAATCGATAACCTACTACCACTATCACCACTACCACCTTCGTTCCTAAACCCAACATGAGTCGCCGGCTTGCTCAGCGTCTTAAAATCGGCCTCGGCAGTCCCCTCCATCTCGGGGCCTTCTAACCTGCGACGACGGACCAACTGGTCCTCTTTCCCCTCCTCCCGAATTTGCACAGTAGCATCCTGAAGCACCACCGCCGCTGCTCCCACAGCATCAGGACCCTCCCAACGTACCTAACTAGCATCGCCTGAGGCCTTCTTGTAGTTCCCACGGAGAGCCGCAATCCTCATCGCGAAAGAATCCGACATATTTCAGTCATCAAGGATAGTACCACGACAGACACACACTAAAAGAAACCTCTCCACGAACCTCACATAACGCCCAACACACCGGGTGGATCAGAAACGATGCACTCATCATAACGATGGGAAGCGGACCGAAGACCCCGCGTTCTTAATTACATCACTCCAATACCTAGCCCTTTGCGGTGCCAGCACCTTGAATGACGGAGCCCCTGCATGAACACAGTCCAACAAGTCACGACGATATATATACGGCATTACTCTGTAGGACTTCTCCCGGTGCTAATACCTCCAAGGGAATTATCACAAGATTCTCCTCCTTCTCCCGAAGCACCCATCTCATCACAGGATCCTCAACCATCCTTCGATGCTTCAACCTGCCCGAGCCTCGCCCCGTACACACACACCACTCTCTACTTCATTTTTGCCGCGGTCGTAATAAGCTGATAAAACTCCTGCAGGCATGTCTGTTTCGTTGACGCGACCCTTATATAGCTACAATCTGACCACACAGCTCATCGCCACGCATTAGCTACCATATACCACCCTTGCCAGTCCGATTGGATGTCACAGCGAAGACCACTCTGAACTGCACAGTGAGGCACTGCTTCCCAGCGTCCAACCCTCCCTGTGGATACCCAAGCCCTTCCCTCTGCTCTCGAGTACTCATTACTACCATCAGCACTACTAA